CCTGTCCCGGGGGGGGGGTGCCCGACGCGCGCGCGCCGCACCCCGGCAGGTGGCCAGCGGTGCGAAGCCGCGCGACGCCGAGCTGATCGGCTTGCTGCAGACGGCGATGGCGGCGGCGCCGGCGCTGCCTCCGAACGCCTTTGGCAAGGTGTTCAGCTCGCAGGTGCAGGACATGCTGGTGGCCGTCTACCTTGCCAACCTGACCCGCGCGCAGCTCGCCCTCGCCGAGAAGCTCCAGGCGGTCGCGATCTAATCGACACGCCGCGCCCACCACCCGCCTCTCGCGACCGCGCGCAGCGGGGGCGACATCATGATCATCATGGGAGGCGTCCGGGGGGGGGGGGGGGGTCGCCTCTGTCGCCTCGATGAGAAAACCTGTTCAGTTTTCCGCAATCAGCGAAAGTTTTCAGAGGTGAAAAAACCACAAGACGCGCCCCCCCGGCGCCCGGCGTGGCCAGCCGGCACCAACTTGATTCCCGGATGCGCCGTCTCTGGGGGGAGGCGGGGTTCCCCGGAGGCACCATGCGCCGCGCCGCAGTGCGGAAACGGAGCTCCGGCGCTCAGAGTCGCTCAGAGCACCGACTTCCCGAATGGTTACGGTTGGTTAGAGGGCAGATTTGGAGAGATCTCGAGGAGTACATGCAGATAGACCCTCCAATCATAAGAAAACTCCGACCTGATCGGTCGTACTGACCGCCGACAGATCACTCCAGACAGAGACACGAGACAGCAGACAGGCCGACGTCTGCACGCGGCCGGCCGGGCGAGAGGCTTGACACGATCCGACCCTGCGACCCTGATGCTGCTGCTCTAGCTATCAGACATGCGCGCTGACTGCTGCCACAATGTGCGACCGGTGCTGACCCACTTGGCGGCCTTCCCGGTCAGTGGTGAGGCGCAGTTTCAGAGCTGTCAATCGGCGCGATGCCGCACTGGTCCCACATTGGTGACACAAGACCACCACGTTTGCCGGTCCAAGAGAGAGGCACCGGCGCTGTCCTGAGAAGGTGCATGGTCCCTCTTGACTGCCCATGCGCGCGAGGCTGTGTAGGCATAGCCTCGAGAGTGCCAGCAGCTGATCCGAGGCAGTTTGTGACGCGCATTGCGTCAGAAGCGTGCACGCGCTGGAAGGACACCTTCCTACTTGCCGTACGATCAGGTCGTCACTGAATGCCGAAGACTAAGGCCGCGAGCTATGCAGGCGGTCAGTTGAGCAGCATGGCACGGTCAGCAGCGCCGAAAGGATGTCGCAAGACGTGATAGCATGGCCGCAAGTATGGCCGCAAGTACCAACGCCGAATTCCCATGAAAACAAGTAAAAAATCGCTTCAAAAAGACATGAAAACAAGCAAGCAAAAAATGGCGCGAAAACAGGTGTGTGTACTTTTTGCTTGGGGCGACACTCATGCTGAAATTCTGCAAAAACCCTGGCCGGCCCCTGCGGTGCCCCTACCTACCTACCTACCTA